ATTCTGCTCGTGAGTCATATTGATTGCTCAGGAAGCGATTCCAAAACTGTTACGTTACATTTAAAAAGGGGAGCTTAAATTAGCTGACGCGTGGGAGTGCGCAGACATGTTTACGTTTTTTTTTTACAGCATTTTTAATTAAGCTTTTGTCAAATGGGCGCTCGAAGCTTCCGTTTGATGCACTTTAACATGTCGTGACTGATTATCTTTTCCTTTGCAGACTGCTTTTGTATAATTGTTTTAATCAATGTTTATCGTTTTCTATACGTTGTCATATATCTTCAGGGTTTTTGAAAAATCTATGTAGTGATTCTTCCTCTATTCTCTTTTGTAATAAGGGATTTGTAAATTTGTGAATTTAGAAACAAAATGAAAATTATTAAAATTCCGCTTGTAACTGCTATTGGTACATTCACCCTTCTTTTTTTTACACAAAAGCCAGCTACTGCTTGACTACTATCTCAACTGATGGTAAGTAAGGTGTAGATGATAGGGGGCCGGTTCGGATCCTGGTAACACCGAAAAATTTGCGACAGTATTATATACATATTTGTAAATCAAAATCATTTATTCATCGACATAAGAAACATACATTTCATATATCAATAGTCAGTTTTTTTTAATGTAACACCGTTTTCGTAATGAGGTTCATCTAACAGAGAGGGAACAGGCGAAAGAAACCGTAGGTACCCCTTATTTTTTGGCAATTTTTTTTACTTCAAATAATTATTTTAAATATTACTTAAAATATTTTATAATAATTTCTATTTTCTTTTAGAAATAGCTTAGGAACAATCAACTCCTTCCCAGGGGATATTGATATTAATGTATTCATTTTATTTAACTATGAAACTACTAACAAACTTCTTAAACCTATTAATAGGCAAGTTTTGCGTATTTACTGGGATTGTGTTCTAGAAGCGCATACACCGTCCCACGAACTAGTTACTCACTCTATGCAGTCTAGTAACGTTGTATATTATGTAATGTAAGTTTTACCTTTGGTGCAGAGACGCACTCAAAATTCGAAGATAAATAGTTTAAGACAGCGAAACTCTCTTCTGCATTTACCGCTTACGTCTCTCTCTAGCGTCTCGATTAATCCGTTTAGAGGCGCGGGCAAACCGCGGCCCGCAAGCCCCGGCACAGGTATCGAACTCCACGAGCTGTATGATTTTAACGCGTCGCGACACCACCGTGCTCTCCTCTGAGTTTTTTCGTCTGGCCCAAGTCGTAAGGTTTAGCGTGATTTGATTACCCTGTCTTGTCATGGCGGGTGTTGAATATTTTGTGATTTTATTTTTCCTTGTAGAAAATATATTGAAACATTAGAATTCATCGTTTTCATCTTCGTTTTTAATTATGCAACAAGTCACTGGCGATATTTATGTAGCATTTAAAACAGAACTATGATGACAAATTAATTATCAACTGTTCCATTATAATAAATGGTTTAAAGTTTTAATAAAAATATGGCCTAGTGAATTCAGCAGTAGCATAAAAGAAAGAGGGAGATTTCTAACCTTTAGAAAACTTTAAGTACTCTGTATTAAACGAAACCGATAAAATTAGAATATATTCAATAATAACCTGATGTCTAAAAGATACATTAAGGTTTCTACGTCTCCCATACTACTTTGAATGACAGTTTCCGCTAGCCTGTTCACCTTGGGACCGCATTAGAGCTCGATCGCTGATAAATTCTATCAATAACAGAGGCGAGAGGCGTCGGGCGCCTTCAGTAGTGTTTACCTCGTCAAATGTGCAATAAGACGTTTAGTTCGACTTGACTCCGTTGGTTATGCCATTCAAAATGGCGCCTTTATTATCGCTCCTTCTATGCTGTGTTTTTTTGTTCCTTGCTAGCACCATCCCCCGGCTCTGTGCGCCTAGTCCATTTTGAAACGAATCTATTATGCGATAAAAGTGATGCGAGAATCCAGCCTATAAGCAATCCCGAACTTCATTAGAATCTCTTTACATGTCGACGTGCGAATATGAGATAAAAAAACCATTCAACTTTTTCATAACTATGCATTTAATATAGGCGCTAACATTTGACAAAGCTGATTCTTAAAAGTGTAACTTTTTGAAGTTCTCTAAATTGTTTCCTTTATTAATGTCGTGAGAATTCATTTCTCTTATTAACTCATTGTTTTTGCACAAGTCTTCTGACAACGAGGTGTTAATTTTCCACGTTATTCCACGATAAAACCGGTTTCAATCGTTATTATTTTTTAACTATAAAGCGTGTTTACTGACTTTCCGAGCGTTGACCTTTAATTCATTGTTCTGCAGGTAGCTTCGATTTTTTTATTAGAATTGCGATTTTAAGTATTTACTTGCACGAATTGTTTTACAAAATTTTGAACAATGCCATCGTAGCGGTCTGTGTGATCGATTTTGGCAAAGTCTGTACGGAAAGTCATAACTAAGGCAATTTTTTTTACTTTACCAAATTGTTTTGTTTAAAATATATTATTGAATATAATATAATATGATGTGATGGTCTGAGCGACTTTGAGCTTCCTCATACGGCCAGCAGTGGTCCTTCACTGCTGGCCGTATGAGGAAGCTCAAAGTCGCTCAGCGAGCTATGGAGCGGGCTATGCTCGGTATTTCTCTGCGTGATAGAGTTCGTAACGAAGACATTTGCAGTAGAACCAAGGTAACCGACATAGCTCAGAGGATTAGCAAGCTGAAGTGGCGATGGGCCGGCCATATAGCTCGTAGAACCGATAATCGTTGGGGAAGAAAGGTTCTCGAGTGGCAGCCTCGTACTGGCCATCGCAGTGTAGGACGACCCCCACTAGATGGAGTGACGACCTGTGCAAATGTGCGGGAAGTCGATGGATGCAGGTGGCTCAGGATCGTACTTCATGGCAGTCTATGGGGGAGGCCTATGTTCAGCAGTGGACTCAAACAGGCTGAAATGATGATGATGATGATGAATGTGATGTAAAGCATTAGCTGCGATTAGATAAATATTTTATTTTTTAAAAGTCGTTTAGAATTATCTAATGTTTATTAACTTTACCTTTTCCTAAGTGGTTTGCCCTACCAATTTAAGAAATACTTTTTTCGACAATTTATTATTTTTCGTTTCCGTTCTAATGCCATTCATTTTTCCGTTACTTTCTAAACGTGTTACCTTATCCCGTACGGTTTGCAATACTGATTTAAGTTTGAAAACGCGATTTCGCTCACTCTCGGTGATTTAATGGCTGTCATTAGACTTTCCGACACACAAGGTGTTTCCTTCACCGTGTCCGCTTAGCCATAACATTCTCCTGTCCAGTTCGTGACAAATCGATCGGATGTCACGCACGACGTTGGGCAGGTGATGCGACCGGCGAAAATTTGTAAACAATTTATCGTGTCCCTAATTAATTATGCGAATTTGGTGACTCAGAGCGATATCGATGATAAAACTTTCGTACTATCATTCCCATCAGAATAAAACTTAAAGTTGCAAAAAAATTTTATATAGTAATTTATATATTATTCGATAGTCATTTTTACAGTTACGACAAATATATGACACGTTTAAAAAATTACTCTATGATGTCTACTTTTACAGCCAGGCATGTGTTAAACATACAGATATAAACAAGTGCGATATAAAAATCACGAAGGTAAAGGCGTGTGGGTAAATATTTTTCACTGTAAACTTTCGTTTTTTCCCAAAATAACTCCGTGGTGCAATTGCCAACGTATTGTCTTAGGCGCCGAGCTTTGTGGGTTCGATTCTCATACGGGACAACTATTTGTGTGACCCACAAACAGTTGTTTCGGATTTGGGTGTTTGTCCCCAAGAAAATTTTATTTATGTAAACCGTTTTGTAAAATTGATAAAAAATTGTTTATTACTGAGAGGGCAAATATCTTTATGTACATATTTTATAGATGAGGAAGGGCATATATAATGAATATAATGATTATAGATATAACGAAAATCTAGAATTAGAAGAGAAAATAAGACGTCAGTGGTCACACTAAAGCTATTATTATATGTTATTTAAACGCGGATATTACAATAATAACGTGTCATCCAAAAGCCTGTTTACCTTGAAAGGTCGCCCGCGCGCTCTTCTAAAATGTAACACGCCGTCACGCTCATATTGAAGCACGCACAAAACTGGCGTGTTGTTTTCAATTTTATAATTCGAACGCGACACCGGCTTCCGTAACACGCACCCATCTACTCTGCTTAATTGTTTGTCATTCAACGATACTTGTTCGTCATTCGATGGCAATAGTTCGTCAATCGACCGCGAGATCAAAGTGCGGATTGTACTGCGGCGACGTGAACTATCACGAGCGTGAATAAGTCATCGACGACGTGACATTTGGACGCCGGACGATGTATTGCGGCACGCCCCTACGGCGCACCTGTTATCATCCGCGCTGGGTGAACGATACCCTTTGATGTGTTTGGATCTTTCTAATAGTGAAGTCATTTTCGGTAATTGTTATAACGATTTCTCATAATTAACTACTATTAGTTAATTATGGGAAATCGTTAAATAAATTAAAGAATAATTTTTATGTAGAGCTCTATAGCTTTATTTATTATTCTTTAATTTACGCGCATATATGCTTTTTACACACTGAAGTAGTTGCATATTGATATTGCAAAAACAATATATGATTTTTAATTAAAAATAGCAATCAACACGCGGAATGACAATCAACTAACGAGTGAAAATCTGTACAGATAAATAAGATTGTTGTGTTAGTTTGTAATATTAAAATAACCGCTTAGTACTAAATGCATATAGATGTGATAACATTTTTTTACAATTTTTGTCTCTCTGTATGTCTGTCTATTTGTTCCGGCTAATCTCTGAAACGTCTGGACCGATTTAGACTAGACTTTCACCGGCAGATAGCTGATGTAATAAAGAGTAACTTAGCCTACTATTATTTTAAAAATTATATTATTTTAAACTGCACGCGAACGAGGGCACGGTTAGTTTAAAATAGATTTGTTGTTTTCAATTAACTTCTGCACGGGCGGTGCTCTCTCCGGAATCATTCGGAGTGACGAATTCAGCCAGATCGCCCCCGCGCCCTTCGGGCAGATCAATCTCGGGGGTGCTCCAGTGACTGTCTCGTGTGATTACTTCCAAGACGAGACTAATAGGATCAAGAGGGGCGAGGGGTGGGGCCGCCCGTGCTCCCATGGATACCTGTGGCGGGCAACTTGTTGCTGGCTGCTCGAACTGTCCCATCTTTCAACAATACTCACCGTCTGTAATAAGGAACTTGTAAAGGACAGACGTTTGGAAATCTGCTCTTCACTTGCAAGCAACCGTGCAATTCGCTTTTTCCAGTTGATCTTTAAACTGGTATACCTAAGTGTGTAAAATGGTGGTAGGTAAGAAGCAAAAACTTCAATCAAGCCTTACCGGAAGAACACAATTTCTATTTTACTTATTGTAAGAAATAAGTAATATTTATTTTATTTTAATTTTAATTTCTTAATATTTTATAATACTTTTAACTTGTGCGCCACACATACTACACGTCACCGGTGAGTTTTATACAAGCTAACTTCTTTTTAATTTAACTTACCTACTGGTTATGAATTTATAATTTAAGTTTCATTATATTATGTCCATCTCACAATACGCCACTAAAATATGACACCGCTATCAGATAAACGAGTGTTAATATGTCTATTCGGTATGCACGGCGCGTTGCCAATGTATCGGATTTACGGGCAACACTCCGAGATCCGCCACAAGCTATATCAGTCAACCCGCGGACCTCAAGATCCGTGCCCTTTGAATATATCCGCAGTGCGTTGTGCGGGTTATTTATGATGCCATTACGCGTCATGTACGCGGCCCGGTGACCGGTTGCGTGGCCCACCATTTACCGTAAAGATGCCATCGGAGGCGGCGGATAGCTCGGCGGATCGCGGATCTCCGACACAATTAAACTTCACATATCTGACGTGGTGTGTCGAGCGCATAAGATCCGCAGACTCAATGCCGTCGTTGTTCAGTGTATGCTAATCGATTTTGTTTTCTCTGCAACCTTCGATTAACTGGTTCAAGGATTGTATTGATGTGAAATATCTATTGCGGTGGGTTCTATGATAATATGGTAGTATGAAACATCTTATACGGTGTGGTGACGCGCATGTGATGAGATAAACAAAAAAAAATATTCATTTTAAATTTTTTGTATTAAATTAATATAAATGTTAAATAAATAAGCAATCATATTGTTCTTTAAAAGAATCAGATATATTTTCAATTAGGCCGTCTTAAGTTTCCTTCGTAAATTATTATTTTCTGCATGTTATCTGTACAACATAATTTCGAATTTTTATATCGGCCAGGCATCCACGACGGCTAATTATTTTAATGTATATTTTACAACTTCAATGAGTAAGTCACGGATCGTGTTCTTATTTGTTCCCATGAAGCATTGTGTCGTGTATTTCAATTTCGCATAGTTCACGTTCGATTTGTCCATGGGCAAAGCTTTTCCGAGAGCGTTGCGCCTATTATATATACCTGATGCGAGTAAACTCACCTTCCGTCATAATCGCAAGTGCACTGCGAAATTACAAGGCCGCCGCATTAAAAGCATTAACTCCCTAATAAGTGCAGGGCGCTATAATGAAATCCCGCGTGTCCGCCGATTATCGGCGATTTCGCAATATAATTTATTGCGAGTAAACGGTCCTGGGAGCAGAGCGGGATGCGCGTACGCGTCGATAAAACCGCCTATTATCTTGCGCTCGGCTGTCGGCATGTGGCACACCGGGAGATGCTATAGTCGAGCCTCTCTTCTATAAGGTAATTCATTTCTATGCGGTCTACGAACGAATCGAAAATTAAATATGTTTCAGTGTTCTCTTCTCTTACTGGTCGGCTTTAATTAGTCTAGCTATACCGTTTCTACCTTGCCCGCCCTCTCTATTTCTTTATTTAATTGCATCCTTGTTCATTGAACTCTTGTGTAGCCCGCGATCTTTGTCAATTCTGTTTTTATTTTAACTTCAATTCACTTACTTATTACTGTACCATTTTATTTTTATTTTATTTGATTAGAGATAACCAGACACCTAGAATATATAATATAATTAGAAAATATACTGCGTTGAGACAAACCTTATTGAATCATTACTAATATAATAAATGCGAAAGTTTGTATGTATGTATGGATGGATGTTTGTTACTCTTTCACGCAAATTCTACTGAAATTTAATAATATATTCAATAATTTAATAATAATTCTTCTGGATTTTAATGAAACTTTATCTATCTATTCTTTATCAGAATAAGACAGGCTATAATTTACATATTTTATGTATATCTGTCTTTTTGTCTGAATGTTACTCCTTCAGCCTATTCTACGCAGACGTAGTCGCGGGCAGCGGCTAGTATATAATATGATGATTATGCTAATGGAAGCTATTAATTTTTCCGTAAAGTCGAAAAGAAGTAGGAAAGTTTCTTCATGCGGGTAATCTTATTGTGGTTTCTCGGGGTTAAACCATATGTATCTGTTACGCTCTCAGTGCGTCCCTAACCTAAAGTAGGCTCTTATTACGCGAACACACTGGAGATCGTCGTCCATTCCAAGCGGACACGGTGAAGGTGCGTCTTATCGTTAATTACCGATTCAGTGACCGCTCCGACGGTTTCCGAAGTGATTTACCGGTGGCCCCTATGATGTATAATTTAGCCGTATTTCAATTAGCCGATCGGTAAACGGCTTGAAGGGCAAACGCTTAGCGCGCAGGCTTTTACCGAGCAATCGCGCTTAGATTACAAGGCTATATTGCTGTTTACCACCAGTTGGTAAATTGGCTATTTTAAGAACTGTTCTTATTATTTCAATTGTTAATTTTAATAATCACCGAAATATGGATTTTTTTCAACTATTCATTATTTTATTTAACTTTGTAGGGTCATCAACTTCGATATCTATTCGCTAAGGGCTAAGAAGATGAAAGTAGTAAGAAGACTTCCGTAAATCGGAGGCAATTTAATAGACATTGTCGCGGTGAATAAGAAATTACTCGAGTTTATATCATCATTATAGCGAGAAAAATAAAAATGAGTGCAATATTCCAATTACCTAGAGTGGTAGCCACGTAGAAAGCATAAGTGCCGCTTTCAGAGCAAGTATTTTTAAATTTCTCATCACGGCGTAATATGCATTTGTAGCAATTTAGACGATTATAAATCAATAGATAGCGCGATCGATTTCGACGCGCGTTAGGAATCACCGTAATTGCCAGCGACCGGCCCCCGTCTAACAATGAAACGGGACCGAACGCTCCTCAATCCAAACAACAAACCCTGTTTAATCTGTCGTGATCGGTGCCGAAGTAATCTGCCGCTGATCGGCCGCTCTCATTGCCCACCTCCATTCAGGCCGAATCTTGGCACAAAGGGGGCATTGTCTTCGATTCCGGAGAAGACGCGGCGCGGAGGGGGCGAGGGGAAATTAACGTGGATGCCCCCAGTGGTTATTGACTTTTTGCTTTGGGGCACGCGCCCACTTAATTTCAGATAATATCGATGTATGCCATTGTCTGCGATCCGATAGCCTCGCGGCCGGAAACGCAGACATTATCCCTCCAGAAATCGTACGGAATGATGCATTCTGTAAATAACTGTATTAAAATATAGGAATAATGTATCCGATTCCCTGTACATATAATGAAAAAATCATCGTCATTAGCCGCAGGACGTTCACTGTTGAAGAAAGGCCTCTCCCTAGAACGCCACGATGATGATGGGATGTTACAGAATATAGTAAGAGAGGAAGATAGAAAGAGATTTATTTGACACAAAACAGACTGACGTACACAATACTCTATTTGGACAATAAAAAAAAAACCATTTACATAAAATATAAAGCTCCATAGAGATATTAAATTTTGGATTATTGTATATCGTGGCTAATGCCAGAAGGGACATTTCTCAGCAGAATGCTTCAAATAAAATTTTAAACAGAATTTGAATGTGTGAAGTAAATTTAAAATTAAAGTTTAAAATATCGCATGATTTTTAACACTAGCCTAATCAATATTTTCAATATATATGTTCTCTAAGGTATGTCAGAGATGCGGAGATTTAGGTAAAAGAGATAGTGGAAATATTTTACAAGTTAAGGTCACGGGCATCTTTAGCTGTTGCACGAATGGGCAGGCTCGTCCGGAAAAGTATCGCAGCACAGAATATTGACTTGGGTTGGAAGTATTATACTTCTGCGTTTGGTGAGTAAGGAAACATGAACCCGAGAACCCGCCAGGAGAACCGCTTACTTGCTTGCATTTTACCCACAAAAGAAAAGACAGAGATATACTTATTTTGCATCACGTGGGCAGATTTCATCGGACTTTTAGTCCTGATTGGTTACCTTAACTTGTTCCGAAACAAAGAGCAACTAGGTAAACAAACGTTACATACAGCATTAACTTAAGCCGCCATAAGGGGCACAATATGGAATGTGAATCATTCGGAGCCGTTTTACGAGTTATCCATGCCATTCCCTTGTGTGACTTACAACACACCTATCAGTTATGATGGCGGGAGTATAAAGATGTTTGGTATGAGAGCTGTGCTCGTTTTGTATGGGATTTATTGGGCAGTTCCCCGCGTCGCGCCAAATGAGATAATGTTATTGTCACATGCACCTAGATCGGATCCGGTTCGCTAAAGCGTTAAGCGCTTGATTTCGATGTGAAATGCCACTGTCCGTCTCGGGGTGATCGCTTAAGAAGGCGTGCCGTCTTAAATTTCAATGCTTAAAGCGCCTGTTAAACTGCCGTATGCAATAAACGTCTCTTTTCTCGATTTATAACATTCTGCATTGCGTAGCTGTGGTATTACAGAAGGGTGGTCGTGAAATGTGGAAATACACTGGTTTCTATATCTAGCGATGGCGTGATTATCTTTTTATATATCTACCTATTTGTGCTCTTTACATGCAGAACCGGAAAACTGTCAAAGATTTAATTCCGTCTACTACGTTGCGGGGGAATTCACGAAATGATCCGGTAATCTCCCGTACCACGACCTAATTCAACGTTTTCTAAATTGCGTTAGCGTCGGTGTAAAGATCTCCTTATGAAGTCATCACTTGCATATGATTACGTCCTGTTTACAATGTTTAATTTGCTAATAGAGGTTATAAACCCACACTAGATTCGGAAAACGTTTATCCCTATATATATACATACTTAGATATATTTTCTAGT